TCACAAGTGTTTACCTTGCCAAGGAACATTTCCCAACAGAAGGCTTGAATCTTCAAGGGAATAGGCTTGCACCAAATTTCTTTCACAGGGAAATCCCCACCTAGGGGGTTGGGGGAAGAAAGTACTTTGAAGAAAGAAGAGCAAGAAAAGAGACCGTCTGGAGAGCCTACCCAAATTCTAGAATCTTCCAGCGAAGGGTCCAAGTGGATTTGCCCTAGAAGGTCTAGAAATAGGATTAAAGACTCACGTCATTTTCCCTTAGTCCCTTCTGAAGCCCAAGTTCCAATTCACACCATTTGGACACGGTGTTCCCAACATGGATATAGCCTCCCCCTTGAGGTTAGATAATGCAAATAGATCAGGAATTTGGTCTTTAAGTGGGGTTTCCCCTACCCATAGATCTTCCCAAAACATAATTTTATTACCTTGTCCCACATCGAACCGGATGGAATTGAGGAAAGTAGGGTAGATTTCATGAATTGCTTTCCAAGGAGAAGCCGAARAACTGAGGGGAAATTTTTGCATCCCAGCCATTTCCATCCACCCAATGAATGCTCTCAATCATTTTGTGCCATAGCCTGTTGCTTTCAAAGGGAAACCTCCAAAGCCATTTGCCTAGTAGAGCTATGTTCCTTAATTGGATGTTCCCAATTCCTAAACCCCCTTGTTCCTTAGGTTTTCTAACCTACTCCCACTTGATCAAATGGTCCTTCCTTTCCTCTCCTGGATCCCAAAGGAAATCTCTCATATACTTCTTTAGCACCTCGCTACCCTAGAAGGGATTCCAAAGGTTGAAAGGAAATATGGGGAGGTTTGCCAGTGCGGCTCTAATCAAGGTTATTCTTCCACACAAAGAAATATAATTCCTCTTCCGCAGGGTTAACTTCCTATCAAACCTTTCTAAAACTGGTTTCCAAAACCCAATTGACCTAGGGTTTCCTCCTAAAGGTAAACCTAGGTAACTGATAGGCCAACTTCTTATCTCCCACCCCAAGATCTCAGCAAATCTTAGTAGTTCTCCTTCCTCCAAATTGACCCCTACAATTCCACTTTTGGTCCAATTTATCCTCAGCCCTGTCACTCCCACAAAATTATTCAGCAACACCCTCAGATCTTCCACCACTTCCTCATTGTTTCCTTCACAGAAAAAGAGGATGTCGTCTGCAAATTGGAGATGGGTAACAACCACCTGATTCCTACCTACCCTCCAACCTCTAATAAGGCCTTGATCACCAGTTTTTGCTATCATTCTGCTTAACACTTCTACCACTAGGGTAAACAAGAATGGAGATAGGGGGTCACCTTGCATAATTCCTCTCCTGGCCGGGAAGAAGTCCTTTGCTGCACCATTGATTAGGATTGAGTAATAAGCTGAACTTTTTTTTTATCAGCAAGAAATTTTCATTAATAACAGAGAAATTCAGTTACAATAGATAAAGATTGCAGAGAGACATTAATCTAAACTGCAATCTCCAGCAATCAGTTACAATTCTGCCCAATACAATGAAGATCTATTTGCCCCTTGTTTTGCTAGGGTATCCACCATCCCATTTGACCCAACCAAACTGAGAGTTGATCCTCTCAAGTGTTGAAATCAAAAGCACTAGAGACTCACATTCATTTTCCCTCAACCCTCTTCTAAAACCAAAATCCCAAGAGATACCCAAATCTGAAAGAAAACCAAACCTAGCAACAGGTTTGTTTTTATGGTTTGATAAGGAGTAGAGGTCTGGGAATTTGATCATAAGAGGCACATCCCCAACCCAAAGGTCTTCCCAGAATAAAACTTTATTGCCACAACCGACATAAAACCTGATAAATTAAAGAAAGGTTGGATATACCTCATAGATTGCCTCCAGGGAAAATTTGGAGCTGCATTGGGGGCTAGTTTTGCATCCCAGCCGTTATCTGCTTCACCATGAATGCTTTTAATGACCCTGTGCCACAACCTATCTTCTTCACAAGGGAATCTCCACAGCCATTTCACTAGAAGGGCCTTGTTTTTCTTTAATAAGTTCCCTATACTTAATCCACCCTGCTCCTTAGGGTAACAAACTTGCTCCCACTTCACTAAATGATCTTTCTTTTCATCGCCTGGTTTCCACAAAAAGTCCCTCATAATCTTCTCCAACTTCCTAGCTATTTTCACCGAGATCTTAAAGGTGGAGAGGAAATAAGTGGGTAGATTTGCTAGGGTAGATTTTATCAAGGTGATTCTTCCCCCCAAGGATATATAATTTCTCTTCCACATTGCCAACTTCTTTATGAACCTCTCTAGCACCGGTTTCCAGAAACTTTCAGCTTTCGGATTCCCACCCAAGGGCATACCTAAGTATTCTAGAGGCCAATTTTTCACTTCACAGCCTAGCATATTTTCCATGGCTTGGATATCCCCCCCTTCAATGTTGACTCCAACTACATAGCTTTTTCCCCAATTGACTTTCAGTTTGAAGGCCTGTTGAAATTCATCCACCAATCTTTTTAGATTCCTTAACTGGATTCATCAAAGCTTTCACAGAAAATGATTATGTCATCAGCAAATTGCAAATGAGACACCACCACTTATGATCTACCCATCCTCCAACCTTTAAACTGGTTTTCTTGGTCAGCCTTAGTGATTTGTCTACTCAAAACCTCGGCCACAAAGGTGAATAAGAATGGGGATAAGGGATCACCCTGTCTTAGCCCTCTTTTAGCCTGGAAAAAATCCTTTGCTACCCCATTCATTAGAATAGAAAAATGTGTTGAGCTAATACATTCTTCAATCCACATCCTCCATCTTTCACCTAACCCCATCTTTTCCATTAGATTCAATAGGAAGGACTAATCCACCATACCATAAGCTTTGTCTAGGTCCAATTTACAAATCAAACCTTTGCCACCTTATTTTTTCTTAGCTACAACACATTCATTTGCCACTAAGATTTGATCCACAATTTGTCTCCCTTCTACAAAAGCTCCTTGGTTCTAAGAGATAACATAGGGCAAGATAGTCTTCAACCTACTAGCCAAGACTTTAGCAATGATTTTATACAAGCTACCCACAAGACTTATCGGTCTGTAATCCTTGGGGGTTTTGAACTCCTTCTTTATTGGCACTAAAGCAATAAAAGTTACATTTGCTCCAGGTGATAAATTTCCTTCTTGATACAACTCCATAAATACATCCATTAATTCATCTTTCAAGATTTCCCAACAATCCTGATAGAAAGCCATTGAAAATCCATCCGGCCTCGAAGCTTTAGATCTATCCATCGAGAATATTGCTTCATGTATCTCCTCAATACTGAAAGCTCTTTCTAGGAGGTTAGCTTCGGATTCTGGCATTCTGTCCCACTGTAAATCTCCCAATTCTGCATTGTTTTCATCAGAGGATGCAAGAATTGACTTTAAATGATCCACGAAGCACCTTTCAATTTCCTCCTTTGCATTTACTACTCTTCCCTCCACCTCTATACTAGAGATTTGGTTTTTCCGTCTTCTCCTATTTGCTAGGGAGTGGACTTAAAATGAGCTGAACTTAAGCATTCTTTAATCCAAGACCTCCATCTAACTCCAAATCCCAGTCTTTCTAGTACTTTTAGGAGGACTTCCCAATTAACCAAGTCATAGGCTTTTTCTAGATCTACTTTACCCTTTCGTCTTTCCACAACGCATTCATTGGCCACCAAGATTTGATCCACAATTTGTCTTCCTTCTACAAAAGCACCTTGGAAAGGAGAGATGATCGAGGGTAACACCTTTTTTAAGTCTTTTTGATAAGACCTTTAAAAGAATTTTGTAAACACTCCCGATGAGGCTTATTGGTCTAAAGTCTTTAGGAGTTTTGGCCCCCCTCTTCTTTGGAATCAAAGTGATAAATGTGGCATTTACTCTTGGTTATTCGGTGGCTTCAGGATCAATATCCACTCACAAATTTTCTCTTTTTAATCTTCTAAACCTTAAGTATGGCATATTGTACATTGAGAAACAAACTTTCTTTTATCAATATATTGAGAAACAAACTAAGAAACCTAGATTTAGTGAGGGTCATCCGTACCCCTAAGAAAATCCATATTTTTTTCAAAATACCAGCCTTCTACTATCTCTCTCCAATACAAGATCCAAAAACTCATCTAACCTAAGATTTCCACCCACTGGAAAAGGCAAATACTCTATAGGCCAGATTGATTTGTCACATCCCAGGATCAAGGCACAACAATTGAGCACCTCATTTTTTGTGCTAATGCTTTGAGCCTTGAAATCCATTTAAAACATTTAAATAATTTCCTTTAGGTTGATAGTCCATTTGTCCTCTTCACATAATCAACCATAGCACATGATATGTTTATATATCACCCAAAAAAAAAAAGTTTACAAGAGTGCATATATCACCAAACAAATGAAAACATTTCCTAAATGCAATTATGCATGTTATCATTTACGATGAACATCAAACAAAATAGGTTTTTTCTTTTTCTTTTTTTTTTTGAAAAAAAAAGATAGGTATCAAAGTTGTTATTAAATTTTAACAAGAAGTCAATAGCATAAAATTCAACTTAATGACTCAGCCTTAATTATTAATATTTGGTGAAGTCAACAGCATATACTAATAATACCAATAATTATTAAAGGCAACATTTAACAAATAGCTACAACACATACATATTAGGGCAATATAAAAAGAGAACCGTCTTGATTCACAGCATCAGAATATATGCATTCTCATAACAATATTTATTATAAAATATAATTTTTATCAGTAGGTATTAGAAAATATATTCATTTTAAGCAGTTGCATGTCCACCCAATTGTTAAGATGCATCCATAAGTTCAAGAAAAAAATATCTGGTAGCCATTTAAGAAATACAAGTTTAAAAATTACTAAAAGAATCATGTAAAAAGTTCAACACTTCATGCACATGAAACCATCCAAGAACAGAGTACCACCATAACATAATAGTAGAGATAGTTTGTTATAGTGAGTTTTCCACCTCATATTGTATGTCTTAATAGTTTACCTGTTCACGATTTCTATCAGCACCTTTATCATTTTCAGCAAAGTCAACCCGTAATTGACGGCCATTAATTTCATAACCCTGGAGATTGCGGCGAGCACTTAGAGCTGTCTCTTCATCCTTGTACTCACAGAACCCATAACCTTTTGGTTTCCCAGTTTCTCTATCAATAACTAATCTGAAATACAAAAATGTTGAAAAGCCAATCAAAAAAAAATATGAAAATAGTATGAATCAAAAAAAATGTTGAAAAGCATCTCAACCATACAATTTAAAGAAGTATCAACTAAAAAGATATAAACCCACAGCAACCTAAACTATCTATCCTTTTGCCCTCAAATGATCATTCTTTCCCAAGCCATCAATTGTCAGCATAGTGAGAATTTAGTGATTCACAGTTGCATTACATGACAAAAATTATAAATAGTTGTTCACATATGATAGGACAACTTACTATCTTTCACTTGAATGTGAGAATTACTGCCCACTCCCAAGTCATGTGAAAAACTATTTATAATTGCCTTCAGAGATCAATGGAGTTCTTCACTAAATTTTCTTAATATTCAGCAATATTGAGCATATGGTCCAACAATACAACAAAAAGGCAGAAAACTTTAACTAGTTTTTGGATAGAATGACAAAAGGGTCCAACAGGTGTCCCTTTCTTTATCTGAGAAAAGATAGTGGGGTTCCCCAATATTTTCTCTGCGAAATTTTCTTCTTCTCTTATTCCTAGCTTCTGGAAATTACAAACAAAATGCGTGGCCTGATAAGGTCTAATTGTGCAAGCACATAGTAGTGTTCTCAGTAATTCAAGTTCGTTTGAGCATTAATATTCTAAACAAGTTAAATCAAGCCAGATGCCAGAAAAAAAAAAAAATTAAGGAAACTGACACTGGACAGAAGGAATTCATTTCAATAAGAGAAAAAGACCAAATTTGGAGAATTTCTTTCTGTGATTAAAATATGAACTTAAAAAATAAAGTCTGACCTAAATGACACAACCGGTCCAACCTCTTCACATATTTGTATAAGCTGTTCTTCAGTCGCATCATATGGTATATTCCCAACTGCCAGGAATCCAAACAATGATCAGATAACAAACAAAACCAGCAAAGAGAAGAGAACGGATCAATATAGCTAACAGTCAAAGCTCCATCTTTTGAAATCTATTGTAAAAAAATTGTAACGCATGGAGAGGGTAGGAACGAAATTCGAATTCCCTCTATGCGTGTCTCAGAGAAAGGAGGAAAGAGGAAGAAAGTGAAGGAGACGAACCGAAAACACAGCGGTGTTGAGAGCTAGCCATCTATCGCAAGAAAACGAATAAGAGCAGGTTGATCTTCTTCCTTCTCGGCATTCTTCGTCTGCAAAAGATTGAGAGTTTCGTACTTGCTTCTTTTCCTCCTCCTTCTTGCCCTTCCCTCGGTCTTCGTTCTTTCCTTGTCCAATTTGACGTTGCAGGGCCCAATCGCAGCGCACCGTAGACCGTTGTTGAGATGTTCGGCGGCAAAATCTGCCTCCCGATGTACCGAGAGGGAAAGGGGTTGGTTTATTCAGGAGGGGTCCGTATTGAGTCGGGAGCCAAACCGTTCGGGTTGGAAACAAGATTATAAATCGGATGCTTATGGATGATGGATGTCGGAGGTCGAGCGGGTTAGCCAGGTTCTTTCGCAAGGAACCTGTCGGTTGGACTCACATTTCTATATGATGAAACTTGGGTCGGTTTTTTTATTTTAGAAGAATTTCACTTTAATATCCTGAACTTTGGGGGTAATGTCAAATTAGTATTCGAACTTTTTAAACGTATCATTATAATACCCAAACTTTTAAAAAGTGTCAAATTAATCCAAAACTGTTACAGACATTAACTATCATATAAAAGGATAAAAATACCCTTCACTTATCTAATTTTCTTATGATTGGTATTGGATCTTTTTTTTGGGGAGGGAAAAAGAACTCGGGTAGTTGGGCTTTGTTGTTGAGAACATCAACTACAGCATCTCGAATACCAGGAAGTTGTTTGATGGCTTTCTCAATAAAACCAACGCAAGTGGAACAAGTCATTCCCAATATTGAGAACAAAGCCTTCACCTCCAATCCTTCCATCTTCTTCTAAACAGGAATGCCCTTGGGGTACTTGGGCAACGAAGGGTAATGCGGCATCGACGATGAATCTCGACAGCTCTCATTTCAAATGCAAGCTAATGCGAAAAGCTTGCTCGCCATGATGACTTTTCCCTCCTCCTCCTCCTCAACTAATCTTTGCTTCCAAGCTTTTCTTCTGCTTTCCCCAACTGCCCCGACTCCTCTCGCTTCCCTCTTAAACTCTGGTTGCGACATTGCATTTGAAAAAACACAAGCAATGAACAATTCATGAATAGATTGTTATATTCAAATTGGTAAAGATTTTATAGACGCCCAACCCCTGGGCTTCAAACACGTGGATAGCAGACATGCACCTACAACGACCACTTCTTTGGGTACGCTACCTTTTCCATTGGCTGACTAATTGCTCCATTTCCACGTTAGCAACCTATGGATCCCTCTAATACTTTGAGTTGACTTCCACAATTCAGTCTTAAGGTAAAAGATAATGATCGGTGTCTTCTTTTGAAGGGTAGGTTTGACATTTTCAAAATTTTAAGTTGCACATGTCATCATGTAATCAAATAACTGATGGTCGATCAACAACAGGGACCAACTTGACACTTTTTGAAAGTTTGGGTACTGTAGTGACACGTTTGAAAGTTTGGGTATTAACTTGACACTATCCCAAAATTTAGGATACTAAAGTGAAATTTTTCCTTTTATTTTTCCAGCTTTGATCCAAATTAGATTAATCTCAGAGTTAAACTTAATTTGATATATGACGAATATGTGAAACATAATCTGCATTTGAAAACATGCAAATGGAGTGTATGTTAGACAGTGTATGCCCTTAGCTCCAATCAGATTGATGTATAGATACATTTATTGTAAATGAATAAAAGTACATTATTGTTTCATGTTGATATTAGTATGTTTCTATGAAATTACACCTTAAACTGGACACTCGTGTTATTTTAAAATGTTCTTAGTCATTGGATAGATTTGGGGAGTTTATCCTGCCGATGTTGACACTTATATGCTACCAAAGAAGTTGGGGTAGCTTGTCTTATCTGTTAGGGTTAGACCCAAAACACTGTGTTTGGTTAAAACACTGAACCCAGACCACTTTCCAGATATGCCCTAGACCTTGAAGATTGATAGGCAAAACTGAAAAGTTACACATAATCCCTATACTTGATTATGGTACTGCATTAGGTGTTGAATTTGGTTGTCTTTGATATGCTGATCGGTGAGATCCATTGATGGTCAAAACCTGGGTATGTTGAGGCAGTTTGAGAATTCATCTGAGTGGGCGATCACAATGATAGGATCGGCCCCTTTGTCGGACAAAATGAATAATAGGGCTTACACTCTCTTTGATGGAAACCTAAATTGTCGACAATTGATTTCAACTGTGTTTGAGATTTGGTTTTGCAAAATATATTTATATGATATATATATATATATAATATATATATTAGTGTTTTATGAAAAATGTTTGCAAAAGGTTTTAATTCTCGATATCCATCCGAATAGAGAGTGTGACACTGCACTTTGTAGCTAGAGGAGAGGTCCTTCCCTATAGAGCAGTGTGTGATTATTATGGGCTAAGAGGTTAAGTGTAAGAGACCATTACAAGGTTAATTACCTGATGGGCTTTATCTTACTAAGTACATTATCCTTGGGTCTTCATAGGATGGTTGAATTCAATGATCATTTAAGTGTAAATGTTGGGTCCATAGTGATGTGCTCAAGGGTTTACTGCGTTTAGCAATGAATTCGGCCAAACATTTTCATAAAGGCTAGGTCGAACCCACGTGAACCTATGTGAGGTCATTATGGAGTCCTATGCCATACAAATTAAGTCCAAATTGGCCATGCAACACCCTTGGGTTGTGAGCCTTATATCTGATGGGCCTAAGGCCCATAATTAATATGATTAATAAACCTGTCACGTGACATGGGGTGAATTTGGATTTGGAATTGGGTATGAAGCACCTAATCTTATAAGAATATAAGGTATATCTCTAATTAGAGTTTAGATCTGATTTAGATCTAGATTATCTCCTAATTAGATTAGGAGATAGCTACATAAGAGATTATAAAAGATGAGGGGGCAGACTAGTCAAAGACAACTTCATATTTTTGTAGTTTTTGGTCATTCTCTGTACCCTTTTGTCTCCTAGTTTTTTTTTTTCCAGTTCGACCTCAACTATCTAGGATTGATATAGATCAATTTTTCCTATGATTTTTGCAAGAAAAATTCTAGAAATATCAGGCTCAACTCCCCTAGTTCAATTCAAGCAATTGAGTTACAATTTTGTTGAAAACCGTGTTGCTGAATTAGTTTCACCTACATACTATGCCATCTTCAGTGAAGGCTGGTTTTAGGACTGATTTGGGCGTGAACTTCCACCTTGGGATCTGCATTTGTGGTATCCATATTAGGTATAAATCTCACTCTTTGATTGGTTTAAAATCTGGTCTAATTCAGTGCAAGACCGACCCTGAAAAATGCAGTTTTTCAAAACATAGGGAATTCGATTCCAAGAAGGATTAAAAAATTTTTGAAATTTCGTCCAACCATCTAGCATGATACGACCATCCATATGATGGATCCTAACCCTTCCAATAGTGTAAATCCCAGTTCAGGGTAAATTTGCACTCTGCTTCACTTTTGCTTGTGTTTGGCAACATTACATTTATGCATTGACAAATGGTAGACCAATGCATATTTACATTGATAATAATATGTAAAAGTACATCAATAAAAAAAGAAGTAAATTTGCATTCAAGTGGGCTTTTGGTAAAAATAGGCATATCCTTTATTAAAATTTGTATTTGCATCCATTATAACTATAAGTATGTTTGGTAAGAAGGTAAATTTGTCAATGTAAAACTAACCCAACTTTGCAATTTATATGGAGCGTTTTACACTCTTCATATTTGCATTCACACTTATTGCGTCGTTTCCAAATGCAACCATAGAGTCGAATTCAATTTGTTTACATATTTAATAGTCAAGGCAATCCAATTAGATTAAAATATCAATAAGGCTTATATAAAATTATCATAAATTTATATAAACCTCAAACCCAATTAATTTTTTAGAGATGTTTAATACTAAAAATTAAATACATGGATCAAATGAAACAAAACCATTATTTGATCCAAATTATTATATAAATCATTCTTTCATATTCGATTTGATCCATTGTAATACAGGTGCAAATCGGGATCAGCCTGAATTAACATTTTACAAAGTTTCAAGCTTTGGTTTCGAGCCGGACCTATTCAAATTTTAACAAAAAGCCCATCTTAAGTCCATGCAAAGTTGTACCCCTCATTACAAGTTTACAACTAAAATTAAAAAAAAAATTAAATCCAATATAATTAATTTTTTTTAGTGGGTGTTTGCCACCATAGCATCTTACAAGCGTTATTGATTTACAAGCATTTGGTTTCAGTGTTTAATCTAAGGGCCGTTTGGCAAGTCTTTTTGGGAAGATCTTCTGGTAGTTCTGACAGTTAAAAGATGCATTGCATTTTTGTAGGAAGATCTGAGCAACCCAGAGCTAGTTTGGTTATCGAACTTCTTTCCATTCTTTCTGCATGAGAATAAAGCGAGAAAGACGCAAAAATCTCCATTTAGAGCTTCCCGAAATCAGCCCAAAATGGGATTCTCGCGTCTTTTCAGTGAACCAACTTTTGGTGGCTAGATTTGTTACAAAGCAAATGGAAAAAAGACTGCGGTGCGGTATGCCTAACTTGTAAATAGCCAAAAGACCGCACAAAAAGACGCACCAAACGGGCCTATTTTTTTTTAAAAAAAATACAAAAGAAAATTGCATTTGGTGTAGAATAGTAGAAGTAGGTTGATTGGGTGTTTAAAGTGTTTTGATTTATTATTATAACTAGTAAGTGTGCACATGCATTGCACATGACAATTCTAGATGATGATAATGATAGTAATAATATATCCAACATTTTCTATAAACTTTATGTATTTTTTTTTTTTATTTTTTGTGCTTTATTATTATTCGTATGCAAATTGCAAAATCCAAATCTAATTACATAAACACCTCATCCAAAAATTTGAATAAGGTGAAAAGTAGTAGTTCAGTTTACAATTTAGTTTGAATAATTAAATAGAGACTAAATTCAAAAATGAGTATTTTAGTCATAAGAAAGTTTCACAATCTTATTCATATTTTTAATAGTAGTGTAAAAATAGAATTGTAGATGTGTTAAATTTTTTCTATATTTTTTTTTGTATTTTGTGTATGAAAATAATTTTGATATGTCACCCATACTTTTTTGTTTAATATGATAAAAATATGATATTAAGACATGTGCTTGAATGCTTTTTTTGCAAAATTTATGTATTTTTTCATTTTTGTATTTTTATGTTTTATTAATTCTCATTATTTATTTATGACATTAAAGGTTAACACGTTTAACCCAAAAGTTGAACTATTTATTATTAATTTTTATATTTCACTTTTTGGTCAGTTCTAAATTATGTATTTCATTTTCATTATCAATGAAAGTAATTATTGTTTATTACACTTATTTTTTCATTTGGTTAACAAAAATATTATAAATATTTTTTTCTACATTTTGTAATTTTCTATATTTATTTATATTTTAAATTTTTTCATCACATAACTATGACTTCATAGGTTGGTCAATTTGATTCAAATGTTGAATTGCTTAGCCACCACTTGGATAAAGAGTGGTTTTGTTTTTGAGTCAATTTTAAAATATATGGGTTTATATTGCTAAAAATATTGACATAGATCTAATTAGTAGCATTTATTAGTGAAAAGTAACTTAAATATAGGATTTAAGTAGAGAAAATACAATTTAATACCTTAAATATAAGACTTAATGAGAAAAGATTAAATGAGGTGGAAAGTAATAATTGAAGTTACATTTTCAATTATTAAATGGATACAATTAGTAGCCATTTAAACTATAATAAAATGACTTTTGTACTCTTTATCAAACAAAGAAATAGAGGGTAATTCTATTAAAAAAAAGTTTCACACTTCATCAATACTTTTATATATAGTATAAATATATTTATGATGACAACTCCATGACAAATTTCAATGTGCCGCATCACCTTATTAATTCAATATCACCAACGCAATTTAAGAATCATCAAATTTAACGATTCAAGAAATACCTATGTTCTCAAATCCTGAAACTATCATTGTAGCAAAGATCAAGCAAACTTGTGAATTCTCCAGTGCCAAACACCTACTTAGAGTTTGCCTCCTTTATCATCCACGTCTAAATCACTCCCTTTTCATAACAAAAATGAGGGTTGATCTTCACTGTCAATCCTTTCAAGACTTGTAAACATATAAGCCACTTCTCATGTCTCCTTGAAAAAACAAAAATTCTAACTTCAATACAATGATGGGTTTGTATCCATCGGTAGAGTGCTTGGAAGGGTGCTTAGAGTGGATTTTTTTCCCAATATATAAGGGCCTTCCCCAAATCTGTAAACCCTCCAACCCTAGTGTATGTGGGATTTGATCCCAAGTCTCCACTACAACCAGGAGGCCTTACCAAACCAGTTGGCACATTGCCAGAAACATGGTTAGACTAGGTATATCATTTTTTTTGTTGGTATTTAGCTATGCTTTTAACATAGAAAAGTACAACTTTGTGTACTGAAAATCACATTATTTTGAATAGCTTGGCTGAGATCACCATGAAAAGATGAGAATTCTACAAATAATTCCTGATGGAGAAGATGGATGGATTCAAAAACGATGTATGGAAATGAAGATCTCGATAATTGTTGTTTGAGTGTTGACTAGGTTTGTTTGATGACCCTAAAACCCTAATATGAGCTTTTAATGTATGTATAATGTATTGATAAATTAACTTTCTTTTTATATCTGATTATTATTGAATTAAATATATCCAATCCAATCCAATAACATTGATTTCAATCCTAGGCCTAGTTTGTTTGTAATGCAATTTCATTTGTGCAAATGCATAGGAAATGCAAATGTACATTCAAGTTATGATCTACTTTGTTTGTTTATAGTGTAAATAGAGCAAAATAAAATTTAGGGTAAGTTACAAAGACCCCCTCCTCTACTATAGGGTCAATGACAATTACCTTCTTGAACATTAATTTGCGACAAACCCCCTAAATTTTTACTTTATGACAAATACCCCCTTTGTTATAGTTCTGTTAAATTCAAAAAAGATTCCCATTCAGTTGTTTATTTTTTTAAAACCGCACAAACTGCCATTTTCTTATTTATTTGACGGTTTATGATTTGATTAGTTTTTAAAATATAATATTAAAGTCTTCTAGATTCAATATTCAAATGAAATTGTAGAAGTTTCTTTTTGATAGATATAATTTTAAGGTTTTGTTTGGTTTTTCTTAATTTATTAGAGAAATGAGTTGATATTTTTTATATTTTAAGTTTAAGAGAGGCATTCATGTTAGCAAAATGAAACAAGAATTCAAAGAAACTTATGTTTCTCTATTAGTAAAATGATTCTTGTTATTTTAGCTAGTTTTTGTCTAGAGAAAATGGAGGTATTTTTAGGTCAATTAAGGCTTAAGAAAAAAGGGCAAAGAAAACAAGTAAAATTCAAGTGGATATTTTAATAATTTAACACATTTTATCATCTGATCTAACGGTTAAGGGGACTTTTATTGCAAAGTAAAAGTTTAGGGGTAATTGTCAGTTACCCATAATATAAGGGGGTCATTGTTATTTACCCTAAAATTTAATGCAAAGCAAAGAAAAACCAAGGGTGGACCAGAATTTACACTCTTTTGATTTATACTTTATACATTGGTACTAGTGCAATAAAATTGCATTACAAAGAAAAAAGAAATCATTCACTTTCCCTTTAAACTTTGCCTGATTTCATTGCCTTACAATCATCATGAGGGATATTCTCGTCATAGAAGAAACACAAAAGGACATATTGGGGGAATTTTCAACAAAGATTTCCCATGGGGCACATTAATGCTACTAAAGAGCTCATTCTTAGGGCAATCATTGCAGACATTAATGTCTATTGCAAATGACCCGTAGTTGAGATGGTAATTAGGGAAATCACATCTGCGCCCTACAAGTGCCTCACAGCACATCCCAATGGAGATGCTCCCAATACACGGTTGGGATGTGCTGTGGGGTGCCTTCCATTGGGACGCAGATGTGAATTCGTAACTAGGCGCCAAAGTCATCCACTTGTTTCGAACTCAACCCAATTTTCTTTCTTTCTTTTTTTTTTATGACTAACTCAACCCAAATTAAAACAATTTCAAAATTCAAATTCTAAGCATATATAAAAGTGTGTATTATTAATGCATTTTGTATAGAAAATCTATACAAAACAAACCTATAAATTTTGTAAATAACACCTGATTGGCTATCATATTTATAATATTCAAGTCTCATAAAAGTTATTTTCAAGTCATTTTTTTGTAATATATAATATCAAAATTATTTTTAGTCTAATTTATTAATAAATTATATATATATAACGTCCAATTCAATCCAAATCCAATCTAAATCGGACGAACAACATTCAATTTAAGTATGAATATCATATCATAAAATCGAATTTCAATATGATTCCATCCAATCCATTTACAGCCCTACTTGTACAGAACATTAATAGCCATTCTTTACCCATGGTACCGTCTAGTACGTGGTAGTAAAAAATTCTTCAGATAAATACTCGGTCTTCTTTGATACTGAAAATACATGATATCAGAAAAATTTATAACCAATCAATTGATATCATAAAAATTGTAACTAATCAAGTCAAGTGGTATTCATATTTAATTGGTCAAAGCTCTTTAGATATTATAACTTAGTGCTATCATAGATTCCCCCAAGCCCTTTAACCTCCCAACGTTTGGTGATAGGGTCTGTTTGGTGATTTACCTTTAAAGGTCTGTTTGGTTTATAATTGAAATCAGAATTGTATTCCATCAAATTGGAACCGCCAGAATGGTTTATTATTCCTATCCATTTGGTTGAGACTAAAATCGGAATCAACTGAAATGGATATTTATTCCAAAGGGAGGGGGAGCAAATGACCATTGCTTCAAATGGGAAAATATTATTTCACCATGAATGATTTCAAAACAGTTAGATTCGGATTCCAAACCCCTCTTCCCATGAGTCAAACGGACCCTAATTTAAATCAAAGTTTTAATAAAGGCTAAGGCGGTTTGGGTATTGGAAATTGATGAGACTGGCAATTAGGTATTTAAAGTGATAGTTGTGTACATAGAAGCGAGAAAAAGAAAAATATGTCAATCACAGTGAAGCCCATGTTAGAGCATGGGTGTTTGGTTGCCGTGATCAAGCGATGTAGGTCACTTAGGGAGTTGAAGACCATCCATGGCCACATGGTACGAAATGGTCTGACCCAAGACTTCTTCCTAACGAGCAAGCTGATCGAGTCCTCAGCCATCTCACTTACAGGACACGTAGACTACGCCCACCGCATCTTCTACTGGACCCACCATCCCAATCTCTTCATGTGGAACACAATCATCAGAGGCTACTCACTCAGCGACTCATCTGCCACGGCCATCTCCCTCTACAGGGACATGCACGCATCTGGCCTTTATGCGAATAGCTTCACCGTTGGGTTTGTTCTCAAAGCCTGTTGTCGGTTACTAAGATTAGATGAAGGGAAGGAGATCCATTCTCAAGTTATAAAGATGGGTTTGGACTCTGAAACTCCTGTGACCAACGGCTTAATGAGATTATACGTAAGTTGTGGGTCTACGGACTCTGCACGCATCTTGTTCGATGAAATGGACGACCGAGACGCAGGTTCTTGGAATGTGATGATTTCTGGGTACGCTCAAAATGGTGGCCCACGTGAGGCACTGGCTTTGTTCAGGGAAATGCAGCTTGAAAATGTGGAGATTGATGGGTTCACCTTGGCTAGCGTTGTGGGTGCTTGTGGACACTTGGGGGCTCTAGATTTGGGGAAATGGGTGCACTCTTATATTGATAGAAAGGGTGTCAAAGTTGACGTTGTTCTGGGTACCTCACTCGTAGACATGTATGCCAAGTGTGGTAGCTTGGATGATGCACATCGGGTGTTTCAAAAAATGAGTGAGAGGGATGTCATGGCATGGTCTACCATGATTGGAGCGTTTGCAATACACGGTCATGGCGAGAAAGCTTTAGAAGTGTTTGCAGGCATGAAAAGAGCTAGGGTGATACCTAACTGTGTTACCTTCACTAGTGTCTTATGTGCATGTAGCCACTCTGGGTTGGTTGAGGAAGGTTTTCAGAACTTCAACAGCATGTGCTCTGAGTATGGGATTGCTCCGCAAATTGAGCATTATGGTTGCATGGTTGATCTATTTTGTCGAGCGGGGCTTATAAGCCAGGCCCATGCGTTAATCAAGAACATGCCTATTGAACCTAACGTCGTGCTATGGCGGACTTTACTTGGTGCTTGTAAGACCCATGGTTATAAAGAATTAGGGGAGCACATAAGCAAGGAGATACTTCGGCTGGAGCCTCACAGCGGCCAGAACTATGTGCTTGTGTCTAATGTGTATGCTTCCTTGGGTAAATGGTCTGATGTAGGCAAGATTAGGAGATTAATGAAGCGTAAACAAGCAAGAAAAGAGCATGGTTGGAGCTCTATAGAGGTGAACTTCACTGTGCACGAGTTTGTGATGGGAGATGATTCGCATCCTGAAACAGAGGAGATCTATGAGATGTTAGATCAGATGGGTAGGAGGCTGAAGCAGGAGGGATATGCATCAACCACAAACGATGTTTTGCATGATATAGATGAAGAGGAGAAAGAGCACGCATTGGGTCTTCACAGTGAGAGGCTGGCAATAGCTTATGGACTGCTTCGAACGCCTGAGGGGTCTCCTATTCGAATAGTGAAAAACCTTCGAGTTTGTAGAGATTGCCATTCGGTCACAAAGTTGATATCTGGTATCTACAAGAGGGATATAACCATAAGAGATCGAATTCGTTTTCATCATTTTAGAGGAGGCAAGTGTTCTTGCAATGACTATTGGTAAAAGTTTGTATCTCTACTGTCTAGTGACTGTGTATTTATTCATTCATTCTTTTCCTATCTTTTTCTTAACGAGTACTTTTCTCGCTTACCCACAGTCCTAACCATTTTGTGAGAACCATCTGCATTGCCTTTGTTCATGTCCTGGGAATTGGATACAGATATTCCAAGCTTAAACCAATGCTGAAGATAAAGAGGTTGGATTGGGGCTTTTAGTGCCTGTTTGGGAGGACTTTCATGTGGCTTTTTGGATTTGCAAGGTGGATCCCACCTGGGTAGCCTATAAGCATTGTATGGTAAAAACAAATATGAAAGCCCAAATTAGCTATATTTCAGCCAGAAAAAAATAAGGTTTTCCAAACACCCAAATTAACAAGCCAACCAAAACTTCAGCCTTCTAGGCCCTTATTTGCTGTGAAGTAATAGGTTATTCTGTCAATCCCCAAATTATGGGCAAATTATTGATTCCCCCACCTTATAAATTTGTCACTTACAAGGGGAGGGTAAAATAAATAAAAAATAAATAAAAATTTGTGAGATGGATAAACCATAATTTTCATTTTTATTATTTTTTAATATTATAAATTAAGATTTGAGACAAAAAAAGATAGTTTTTTGGCAAAAATAGTGGGGCAAGGTGCTTTTTGGGAACATATCAATTGCGAAAAAGTTGATTAAAAAAAAAAGGGAGAATGATGGTTCAGCCCAGGGTCAGAATTTGTAGGCTCAAAGTACATTTTGGGTAAGTGCCAGCTTGGAATTGATGCCAATTCACGGGTGGGTATTGGTGCATAGAATATAGATTTTTGATCTTTTGAATATTTATAGTTTTGCTGTGGAAATCAGAAATCTGCATCGGGCCTGTCCGTATTTCTCCGAAAAAAAAATCACTCTAATTGGATAACTGAGCAAAAAGTCACGGCCTCTGTAAATGTGCATATAACTAAAAAAATAAAATTAAAAGCAATGCAGTTTTATTTTATGAAACCAGGACTGATTCACTGGTTCTTCAGTTGGATCGGCCAATATTTCATCATTTTCAGTTTTTAGGGTATGAATTGGCCAATGGACCTATTCATGGTAAAATGCTAATTTTTGTTTCAATGTAAGCAAAAAAGTATGTGAGAATTAGGACACCAATATTGGATTATTTGAGATTTGGGAAGTTTTGAGAACACAAACTCAGTTTGGAGGAGATGGAAATTTTGAATCAAAATCCAATTGATCTAAATATATATTGGGATCATTGTGAGATATGGCAAACGCTCATTACATTTGAGTAGATTTTGTCCACTCTCATTATTCGTTGATTGTGACCTTCGATGGCTGTGGATTAAGAATACACGGGTAAATTTTCAGTTCACAATACTTCCCAAACTTCGATGGCTGTGGATTAAGGGAAAATTCCAGATTAGTATATTGTAGTCTCAATTTAGTACCCAAACTTCAAAACTTTCCACTGTAATACCTGAATTCTAAAAAACTGTCGATTTAGCCCACACTGTTAATTACTCCTCAATTACTTTTGGAAATATCAAAATTACCTTTCAAAAGAAGACTGCTCATTGTCTTCTTCCTTGAGATTGAGATTGAGAATGGAGATCATAGATTCGTTTTGCAAAATCTTCTACCTTGGCCACAAGTCTGTACACTCCTTCGCAATTAGTCCAGTGATAGCAGACCCTTTCATTTCTCCCTTGCAATTTACAATCACCCCAGAATTATCTTCGAAGTACATGTGGACACTACTCTTTCAGCCTTGTGGCTTCCTCTGACGAACAATAATGACAGACATAACAGTTGGTTGAGACTTGAGATGCACCTACGAGGCTGTCCAAGAGGAAGCGGAATCTGCTTCTCACAAATGGGTGCCTCACAGGCACATCCACCGTGCATTGGAAACATCTTCCGTGAATAATAACTAATAAGTACGGGAAATGTTCCCAATGCATGGTAGGATATGTATGTGAGAAGTAGATCCGGTCTCCTCCAGGAGGCCCTTCCCGGTGACAGTTGTTTGAGAAGTTAGCTAGCTGGTTCATTTGCAAAGCATGCTCATGAAGTACACATGGTGAAGTGGCCACCACTCACCAGAGAAGGAAAAAGAATGGGTGCGACAGAGCATGGAAAAGATGGAGCCTTGCTATTTACTGATGATTGTAGTATCAGTGCTAAATGTGATGGTCTTTTCAACGTTTTTTATTTCTACCAAGAATTCTGGTGACGTTACGGATCTGCAATTGGCATGAAGTTTAAGCCAGAATGTTGTGATGCTCCTACAGAGGTGAGAGAATCAAAGTACACTACCGGGGCAAACTCACAGATGGAACTGTCTTTGATTCCAGTTTTGAAAGAGGTGACCGAATTGAGTTTGAGCTTTGGCAGTGGACATTGGACAAGTTATTAAACAAAGGGCTTTTGGGAATGTGTGTGGGGGAGAAGCGGAAGTTTAAAATAATTGCAAAACTTGGTTATGGGGCTCATGGATCCCCGCCTACCATCTCAGGTGGAGCAACACTGATTTTTGATAAAACAACAGGTGGAAAAAACGAGTTATAGTCAGAGGAATAATTCCTCAAGTGTTATATGGTAGCTAAATTTTTACGGGTTTCCTTTAGTTACAATGTTTTTGTTTCTTTAACAGTCTGACCATTTTGATCTGATTTCGAATTCCACTCACCCTCTGTACCATGCTGTGATCGGAAAATGCATCCCTTATCTCTGGCTTTACTAAAAGAGCAACCTGCAACTGCAATGGAGATTTTCCTTTAGGTGATCTGATTTCAAATTCCCCTTAGATTTCAGCTGGGCAAAGTAGCCATGTCAACTACTGTCCATAACCACCCACAATTTAAACAGTATCCAACTCCAAGGACGATCCTGCCAAGAATCAGAAATGGTTACGCCTCTGTGCTCAGGCCCTCCAGGCCTCCCGAAGGAACATTATGATGACCTGAGAGGTGAATAGATTTATTGTCTTCTTTCCAAGGGTAGTTTTTACATTTTCGAAAGTTTTAAATCGCACATATCAACATGTGATATAAATAACAAAGGTAGTTTCTAAGCTATTTTCAAAAGTTTTAAATTGCTTAAGGGTGGGACTAAATTGACAGTTTTTGAGAGTTCAAATAGTACAAGATATTAATCTGGAAATTTCTTACTTTTAAAAGTTTTCTCTTGTTCTAAACAAGTTGGTGTAATCTGGAAATTTCCTACTTTTAAAGTCCTCTCTTGTTCTAAACAAGTGGTGTTAATTCTTCTGTCCATAGGATTTTCCCTTCCAAATTGAGCCTTAGATTTGGCAATTTAAGTTACCTCCTCCTTTAAACTTTTTGTTGTGGGCCTTGTGGCGACTCATCAATGATTTTCTCATGGTAAAAACCAACTTTGGAATGCATCAGACCTTGAACATTTATTTTGCTTTCTTGTGATTTTCGCTTGCTACTATTTAGTTTGCCTCACCTTCGACCATCTGGTCCTTTGATGGGTTCCTGGCCTGATAATTTTCTTCACTCTTCTTACTTTGAAGAGGAAAAGGAGGCCATACAATTGCTTAAATGGTTGTGGTGTGAGCTTATTATATATGGTTAATGGTTTGCAAGAAACAGAAGGATCTTTGACAATAAACAAATTCTTTTTCAATGGATTTTTCACCGCCAATGCGATAATAATTCTGAACCCACTGCTCCTACACATGACGATTCATGTGATCCTTTCTAGAAATCGAATTTCTTCATGGACAGAGTGTCATCTGTTGTGTGATAGGGGTACTTTCGATTCTTCTTGTTGTTATTTATTTATTTGCTTCTCTCTATCATCTCCAATTTTTGGGTGCCTCTGCAAGTAAACGTCAGAGCTCCTAGCAATTTCAAAGCACTGCAAACAGCTAAGAATTGGAAAAAAAAACACTGTTCTATGATACGATAGCTGTTATTTTGGCTCTAAATTCTGCTGGTTAAAGTATTTCATGGCAGTCTAGCTAGCTGAAATTAAGAAGTGTGTCGATATTGGGCCTGTAGACTTCTTACATGTTCCTAGAAATTTTAATGCTCCAGTCCATAAATTAGCCAGTTTGGTAAACAACAGTTATCTGCTACTTGATGCCACCTGTATGGTTGGAGGACCATTTGTACATATTTTTGTTTATGCATCAACAAAAAAAGGTAAAAAAAAAAACGATTACAAGCCATTACAGGAATTCTTCTGCCCTTATGGCATCCACTCCAGACATGGTGCAAGGTCTGGTTATTGTTTTACCATAAAACATGCATGGAAAACACACCATAAAGTCTAACTGCCGATTATGAGGCTTAGCCATTCATCTCAGGCAAACCAGAAGAACAATGTGAATGCCTCAACCTGCTCTTTAATGATGATAATTAGTGGGTTTCTGGCTCACTAAGGAAGCATTTAATAATGTACATCATTCAACCTAATAGCATAAACGCTAATAATTTAACAGAGGATATGGCTTTACGGATCGGAGAAAACAGGATTCATGTAGCCGACCCTGATAAGGCATGGATTATGACGACGATGATGATTCAAACCTAATAAAATCTAGATATGTGATATTGCAGGTCACCGGAAGGCATATAGAAAATTCTACAGGGTTTCTAAGTCTACCACACTATGCAGAAATTCTGATAATCCAACTGAAATCCTGTTAACTGCCACCGGAAGAGTTTTGCTTCCCTACCACACACTTTTATCAGCTCAAACATGTTACCTAACAAGAGAAAGGATATATGCCTTATTTTTTTTCCAAAATATTGTTCTAGAAGGGCAGATTGCTGAAATACGTTTATTGAGTGTGGATTGGTCTTTAGCTCATCTGGAATTTAAAGACTTAAAACAGAGACTATTTTGGGCCTAGTTTGCTGTGAAATCTCTTCTCCAATGGATCGTAATCATTTTCCTTTAAATGAAAATTTTACCAGATTACTATAAAAAAGGGCCAATACCCAATGTTAGCCCCATCTTTCCAGGGACTTGGAAGGGGAGAACTGAATATCAACCTAACCTTTGGCAATGGGTGCTTGTTTACAAGAAAAACTGTGGACATCCAGTGGTTTAACGCAAAATAGGTGAACATGCATATACACGATTTTCTTTAATGAACTAGCTCCAATTAATGAAATGAGCCCATCTAGCAGCACAATTGGAGTAAATGTAAATTCATGGGTGAAACAAGTGGTTGAATATAATAGAACATAAAACTAAGAATTAAAAGAAATTAAGACACAAGGTACTTTATTACAATTACTTGACTGTTAAGAAAGAAAGAAAGGGGTAGGATGTTACAGACACGGTACCACTTATTCTAATGGGAGGACCTGTAAATAAATAAACCATATTGTAATGGACAATGCATGATATCCAAACAGGCAAGCAACCACCATGAAGTATTATGCAAACCATGAGAGAATCCCTTTTGTCAAGATGTGAACTCCATTCATTCAAATACCAGTTTTAGTGCCAACCCTAAAAGGATTTGGATTGATGATTCACCAACCATGATTTATAAAAAGAAATTATGGAAACATCATTATCGAGGAAAAATTTGAAGAAAATCAAATACTGAAACATGAATAGGCCAAATACCACAATTACAGGCTACAGAGCATGGTTGATACTCTAACAAAGAAGCTATTCTTGTGGAACCCATTGATGCTTTGTGAGACCCATCTTAACAATCACCCTAATTTTGAATTTTTCTCCTTCTGATATAGTCAAGTGATCTCTATAGCAATAAACTTCAACTTTAACTACTGGTAACACAGATCTAGTGCAGTACCTCCTCATATCCTGACCTTCACATTAACAGTCACCAGAATTTTTATTGCAATTTGTGGTGCTAACATTTTTTTTCAAGCTTATATTCTTCAAATCTCCTGAGATCCATCAGATTAAATTTATCTCTAACTTTGTGTAAGCAGTAGTTAAGAATAAATGTTTTTACAACTAAACCAATAATGTATTTGTGCATATCAATCATAACTCTGCAAACTATGAGATAGGACTAGTTGAATGCAATTGCTGTTCAGTGGGCTGTGGAACCAATGACAACGCCCCAGACCAGTCATAAAATACATGGGGCCACAACTATTCAACCTCTCACTATGCCAAACATTTTATGACTGGTGTCGGGCGTTATCATTGGTTACAGCCCACTACACAGCCATTGCAATCAGCTAATCCAAGTTAGCAAATTATGTGCATCCATGTTTCTTTCAATTAAGCTGGTGAGAGATCCAATATATGCAGAAGACCAACTTCTTTAGGCTAAGTCAGAGAACTAAAGCAACCTTCAATTTTTGCATGAAACCCTTTTAGGAAAAAACTTAACAAGTGATTTATTGGCTTCCATTAGGCTTAAATCGTAATGGAAACACATTATGTGATATTCTCACTGGCAGACAATACATTGTAGACCTACCTTACTTCATGAAAACTCTTCACTTCAGATCAAGTTTGAGATAAAATCTCTGTAGGTTATATTTCACTTTGAAAGTGCAAAATCATCAAATGCAACAATAAAGCAATCACTAATAAGTTGACCATATAACAAAATATATTATCATTATAACAAATAATAAAATATAGGAAGGGCGAAAAGCACAATTTTAAACCCCAACCTAAAGCCAAGTTTTATTTCTTAAATCATATATTACACAAGAAGAAACCTGTAAAATAAGAGTATAAGACAACCTTCACCTTTGGGCAAGGTTCATATTCCAGGCAACGTTCACAGTCCAACCGACAAGCAATGAACGATTGAAGAACCACTGGGGATGACCAGAATCACCTGCGACCAAACAATTGAACCCCACAGTCCCCCACAACTATCCTTCCAGACCTCAACCTCCGCACATAATATTTCCATCTGTTTACCCGTCTCCTTTCCCTCCCAAACCACACACAACCTTCCTCCAACATTAGCCATAGTTGCTCCACATAAAAACTTAGGCAAATCCTTCTCCACCCCCTTCAACTCCTTCCATAAACCTTCCTTCACGTCATACCCTCTTATCTTTCCCAAATAGTCATAACAATATAAAACCCCGTCGACGACGGCAGCTCTTCCTCTCCACCCCAAATCCAGCTCAGTCGATACATAGCCCCACGACGCCTTCGTAGGATCGTAGACAATCCCTCCTCGATCTGCCATTGCGTATATTTTCTCGTCGATGACTGCGCTCCCATGCATCCATTTCTCCCTAACATCCACCGGACTGGGAACAGGAGTCCACGACCCAGTTACCGGGTCGAACACTTCAGCCCAGTTGGTCGAGCGAGCCCAAGAATCGACCACGCAACCTCCAAGAACATAAATTTTTCCATTTACAACGCCGGTGGCGGCAAATTCCCTGCCGACTCGCATCTTGGGACCGGCTTCCCATTTGTTGAAGCGAGAATCGAAGATCCAAACGTTCGTCGAGGGAATGTCGTTAATTGAACCACCGATGACGAAGATTTTAGGGCCAATGACGGCAAAGGCAGAGCCAATGGCCTGAGAAGGGATGGGAAGGACGGGAGAGAGATTCCTGGGATTTCTAGCGTTACGAGGGTTCTGACCGAGGACGAACCATTTGAAAGAAGATCCATGGATGCGGACGTTGATGAAAAGGAAGCATTGGGTGCAGTTGAGCTGGGAACGGGTGGAGAAGAAGATGGGAGAACGGAGGATCGATCGCCAGGATTTGCAGACGAGGGAGAGATCACAGTGGTAGAACCGTGGGACCCTCGCGATGCATTGCAAAGCGACGTCGTCTGGTAGGCTAGGGATGAGGATAGATGGTGGCGAATCGGAATCGACAGTCGACGTTGCCTCGACCTCGAGGGATGAAGAGGGCTCGTTCATGGCTTCACTCTTTTGCTGTTGCAGTGGCGCGGGACATAACTCAGAAGGATATCTCGACTCGCGAGCGACATCCAAACAAACGGAACGGGTAGATGTTGGAACTTGAACTCGTACTTAGAACCAGAAACTAGTCTTAACAATGACATACCGTTACTCTACCCTCCTTCTGTATAAACCGTTGGATCAAAAAGTTTTCGTAAGTAATTGATTATCAGATTGGGATCATTAATCGCTGTCTCGCTGCAACGCTTAAAGCAATCCGATGGAGATGGCAATTTGACCTGTTTTCGTGGGCCCCGTTTAGATTATATTAAACTAGCGGGGACCCGTGTGATGTACGGGAAAACGAAATATAATTTTTGATAAATTATTATAATTTATTTAGGTTCATATTATTTGATAATTTGAAGTAATTATCATCTAAGTTTTACTAATTTTTGAAATTTAATGGTTATTTTTACAAAGTTATACTAATTTCATCTATTTTATCATATTTTATGCAAATTAGTGGTTATGTTTCCCTAAGCTCTACTAATTTCTGGTAATTTCTATTATATAATAATTTCTGATAATTCTTAAATATATTATTTTATGGAAATTAGTGGTTATTTTTGACTAAGTTCTACTAATTTCTGGTAATTTCTATTATATACTAATTTCAGTAAATATATACTAATGTATTATATTTATTATATGATAGTTTATTGGTAAATTATAGTAATTTATCGATTTTATGGAATTTAGTGGCTATTTTTGGACATTTTCTACTAATATATGATAATTTTTGGCAAATTATTTTAATGTATTTAGGATTATATTATTTGATAATTTCAAGTAATTATCATCCTAGAATCTACTAATTTGTGATAATTTGTTTTGATTTATTTTTTATAAATATTGGTAATTTATGTCTAATAATGGTAATTTCTTTTAATTTATATTTGATCATATCGGTCGATACGTATCGTGCCAGTGGCTTCCCAATACGCCCATACAGGGGTTGTATCGGGTCAGCCACTGGTTCAGAGGGTAGCTAGGCCTTAAATCAGCCCCTTTGAACCGATTTCAAAAAAAAAAAAGTAAAACATAAAAAAAGCACTGACACAAGGTGTATTGGCCTATGTCGATATTTAGAACCTTGAAGCAATTCATTAAGCTAAATGCAAATAGCATTTTTTAACTAACATCATATAACAATCTTCAAAGCACAAAACCCAAAAATTTAAACCAAAGAAATTCAATAAGCAAAAAGACAAACATTATTTTTGTTGATTTGTGTTAACATTATTTATTAAATATTTAATTATTAACAACATTTATCAATAATAGTAAGTAATTATAMTATTTWATTAAATAATYAKTAATGATAGTTTTAATAATATTATTTAGTTATTTTTAATATAACAATAATTATTAAATTTATGAATAGGATTTATTAATAATATTCATTAAATTAATAATTACCAAAATCAAATTAAATAAACATTATTTATTAGTAATAGTCAGTAATTATAATATTTTATTATAATCAATAACAATACTTTTGATAACATTTTTAATATAACAATAATTACTAAATTTATTAACAATATTTATAATTTTAATTTAAAGTAAATATCTATTTATTAACAATATTTGTAATAACATTAATTATTAATTATAATCAGTAATTATATATTTATTAAATTACTTTAATAATCAGTAATTATTAAAACTGGGTTAAAATAAATAGATAACAACATTTATCTAAACTGGGTTTATAAATAAAATCGGGTTTGGTATTTATAGTCAGTAATAGTTAGTAATTATAATCAGTAATGGTTAATAATTATAATCAGTAATTAAATTACTGCCATTTGGCGAAAGGGGAGACCACCCCTTTCGTATTAATATATATATATATATAATTACTAATATATGTTATATTATATTATAATATTATATATTATATAATATAAAATAATTTTAGTTTTAAGCAGTAAAAGGGAGAATGACTAATTAGTCTAGGTCAGAATTTTCTAGCCCCATCGTATTAGGGAATGAATCTTGGTCGTGAATTGATGCCAAATTCATAGGTAGGATGTGGTTTATAGGGGGGCTACTAGTAGAGTATGGGGAGATGTAATTCAGATTTTTGCATTGGATGGCAGTGTACTTAACCCAAAATAAATAGATAAATTTGTAAATATATAAAGAAGAATGACTGATAGACTGAGGCGGGATAGAACAAATTCGAGGGTTTCCATTCTCGTATGGATAGGATGGGGCTAGGATTTTAAGCCTCGCTAGGATTCAGGGTAGGGCATTTGAATTCAAGATCAGGGACGGGATAGGCAAAACCCAACACCATTCCGAGTTCGACTTCAGTTAGGGCAAAGCTCGTTCAAGCAGCCTTTACTGCCTTGCATTGAGAATATCTCCGCATTTGTATGCTTTATTTCATGGGGAGATATTCCCAACATAAAGTTGCAAAAGGTTGTTAGAATGGTAAGGGTATAGGTTTGCCCCGATAGAAACCAATCTCCCCCATTCCACCCCGTTGCTAAATGAGTCCGGCTTCGGTCTGGGCGAAGCCCGTTCCAACAACCTTCATAGCCTTGCATTAGGAATATCTCTGTACTTATATGATTTATTTCATGAGAGATATTCTTAATGCAAGGTTACAAGGGACTTCTTGAATTGTGCAACACCAACTTGCCCTGCCAAGAAGTTGAACTCTTGCTAAATGGGTTGTATTGAGTCCACGAGACAACGGTCAGAGCATCTGTCACTTGGTATAACATGGCCCACTGAGGGGATAAGGGCATCTTACAACATAGGAAGGAGCATAGTTGTATAATGTATGGGACGTTAAGTAGATGCCAATGTGATGGTAGAAAGTTCTGTTTCCAAATGAGATTGTAAATGCAGGAATTCATTTTTTTATAGCGGTTTGTGAGATGTAGAGGTGTAAATTGGGTTGTGCCGCCTACGTCCGACATGGTATGACATGACGGCATGTGGGCCGTGTCATGCCTAGCACGATGGTCCGAGCAGTGCTACGCCTGGGGTTCCATGTCCATGGGTCGGCATGGCATGACACGACTATGCATGTCGTGTCGCTCGTGGCCCATGTGCCAACATAGCCTAGCCCGCGGCATGGCTTGTCACGGGCCACGCTCGGCCTGGGTCGGCATGGCACGACACAACTATGCATGTCGTGCCACTCGTGGCCCATGTGCCAACATAGCCTAGCCCGCAGCACGGCTTGTCACGGGCCACGCTCGGCCTGCCTGATGAACTAGCTGTTGCTTTTTGGGGTTTTTCTTATAGAAATACACCCCCAACAACTATAAACAACTATATAAGGGGGGGTATTTATGCATTTTGGTTTTGGGGGGAGAAAGAATGACACAAATGCCCCCAAACAGCTATACAACAACTATTTTGGGGGCATTTTGGGTAAAGTGATAAATAAGTTTACAATGACCAAAATAGCCCTCCCAACAATTAAAAACAACTACTTTTTATGGTATTTTGGGCAATTGAATTATTTTCAATTCCTATAAATAGCTCTATCCTCCACCATTCTCATCACACCAATTCAACAATTCTCTTAATCTCTTCTCTAGTTCTCATACTCTCTCAATTTATCTCAATCTCTCAATCTCTCATACATTCTCTAATTCTTCAATTCTCAACTTTATTGAATTTCAACAAGAAGAAGGCTTGTTCAATATCTTAAGTATCTCAAGTTAACTATTTGGGAGGCTTGGACTATTGGAGTTGAAAGATTCCAACCCTTGAAATCAAGTTGGGATTCCAAATCGACAATCCAAATAAGTGCAATTAAATTAATTTTTATTTTTTAAAATCTAAAAAAATGGCTAACTTATCCCGAAACCAATTCCCTTACATGTTCAATGCCGACAATATTCAGTCACAACATGGTAGTGTTAGCATCGATATGGATGCTATTAATATTGACGGAAAAGAAGACCGCTAAGTTGATTAGCTCGGATTGGAAAATATTTAAAGTAGAGAAGGTTCAGGGGAAGGGAAAAATAGTTGTTTGCCAAAAATGTAGGAAAGACTTTAGCTATTGTAGCAAGGGTGGTATTAGCCATTTTGGCAAACATTTGCTCACCCATAAGAAAGAAGAATAAGAAGAAGGGAGAGAAACAACACAAAAACAAATTGGGCGGGGGTTTTGGTACTGTTAAATATTCTCAAGAAAAAATAAGGCAAGAATTAGTAAAATACATTATACATGCTAAACAACCATTTTTGTTAGCTGAAGATACTAAACTTGAAAAATTGATTCGTAATTCTGTAAATCCACAATTTAAAAAAGTTTCTAGGAATACTATTAAATCAAATGCTTTAAAAATTTTTTATTCATATAAACAAAATTTAATTTATATGTTATCAAATCTTAATTCTAAAGTTGCAACTATTTCTGATATTTGGACTTCTAAATTTAACATAAGTTATATTTGTGTTATCGGTCATTTTATTGATGAAAATTGGCTTTTAAGTAAAGAATTTTAAGTTTTACTAGGCTTGAATGGCCACATGCTGGCTTAGCTATTGCTGCAAGTATTTTAAATACTTTACATGCTTATAGAATTGACAATAAATTATTTTCTATTAGTTTTGATAATGCTAATAATAATGGTTCAACAATAAATATTTTAAAATCACAATTAAAACCATGTTTAAATGGTAAATTATTTCATATCAAATGTGCATGTCACATCTTAAATTTATGTATTCAGGATGATTTAAATACTATTTCTACTCATATTTATAAAATTAGAAATTGTATTATATATTAAAAGTTCTAGAGCAAGAAATCAAGAATTTAAATATTTATGTCACAATTATGGTTTAAAATATAAATATTTTATATTAGATGTTTATAATGTATTTCTTACAAACAAATTCTTAGTGATTTTTATAATGCAGAATGAAGGGATGAGAGATCCATCATATGGACGGCTGAACCCTGCAGGAAGGTTGGGCGAAATTTCAAAAATTTCTCTCTCCCATGTGGGAATCACATTCCCTATTTTAGAAAACTGCATTTTCGAGGATCAATCTTAAAACCAAACCAGACCAATATCTAAAACCAAAAGGGAGGA